TGACTGTATGACTGTAACTTTGTCGCTTGCATCCTTACGATTTATATTGACTGTTTCCTAGTATGATTTGATTGCTTATTGTACCCTATGACTATTATTAAGTGTTGTACCTGAAGATTCTTGACTCTGGATGGAAGTCTCTTTTCTTTTATGTATACTGAGAGCATTTGCACCAAGACAAATTCCTTGTGTTTCCAATCACACTTGGCCAATAAAAGTATTCTATTCTATTCTATTCTATTCTATTCTATTCTATTCTATTCTATTCTATTCTACTCTACTCTACTCTACTCTACCCCACTTTACTCTATTCTTTATTCCAATATCTTATTTGACTGTTTCCTAGTATGATTTGCTTTGCTTATTGTACCCTGTGACTATTATTAAGTGTTGTACTTTCTATGATTCTTGATGAATGTCTCTTTTCTTTTATGGACACTGAGAGCATTTGCACCAAGACAAATTCCTTGTGTGTCCAATCACACTTGGCCAATAAAGAATTATATTGTATTCTATTCTATGAAGAAATCCAGCACTGTTTTTTTATCTACATCACCCGGGCTCAAAAAGTACCCAAATTTTAGAATTCAAACTGTTTAGGAAAAGAAGTAGTTCAGAGACCATTCGAAAACCGACTGAAAACGAAACAGCCGGCCCAAAGCTAAATAAAGAACAGGCCTAACGTGTTTTTCCCCCAGATGAAGAATCATCAAAAGAGCGTCCCCAATTAGCTGAGCTTTAATTTCCATGTGAAAGAAGGGATCTGTACGGGAGGAAAACACGTTTTTGTTTCAGGTGTGGAATGAAATAGGCCCACTCAAACTAGTTGGACGAGACAAGTCAGCCACATGCTACAAAAAAGCACAAAAAAAACCCCACTCAAACCACACAGGTTTTATAGCTAGTCCTTGACTTACAACAGTTCTTTTAGTGGCCGTTCAAAGTTACAAGGACACTGAAAAAAGTGACTTAGGACCGTTTTTCGCACTTACGACCGTTGCAGCGTCCCTGTGGTCTTGGGATCAAAACTCGGATGCATGGCAACTGGTTCATATTTATGACGTGATCCCCTTTTGCGACCTTCTGACAAACAAAGTCAATGGGGGAAAACCCAGATTCACTTAACAACCTTATCACTAACTTATCAGCAATTCAATGGTGGTTAAGACAGGTGTAAAATGGGGCACTGAACTCACTGAACTCACGCCTTAAGAACATAGGTTTGGGGCTCAACTGTGGCTGTAAGTCGAGGACAGCCTGTATTTCGAACACAGGATGCTGGAAATGGTCCGTCTCACTTTTGGAAGGACAAGAATACCCTGAAGGACTAGATGACTGGGCCGCTGGCTCAAACCAGGCAAGTTTTACTTCTGGGGTCAGAACGAAAGCAGCGCGTTTTGCTCCATACTCCAATCTAACTTATGGAACACACGTGGTTCCCTTTCCCACTTAGCTCACTTTTTTTAAAAAAGGGCCATTTTCAAACATGAAAGGGTTTGTGCTCTTTGGAGCAGAAGACTTGAGAGCTATCTTTCCCACTCGAGTCACTTAAAATGGCTTTTGGAAACACAAAAAAGTCTGCGCTGTTTTGCACAGACACCACCACCCCTTACACCAGAAAGTCTTTCAAAACGGATACTTCACTTCAGCCATGTTTTTATTAAAATGAAGAGGAAATCTTTGTGTGTGTGTATGTGTGTGTGTGTGTGTGTGTGTGTGTGTGTGTGTGTGTGTGTGTATCAAAACATCAAACTGTTTAGGATTGTAGCCATTAAGGCAGCATCTTGAATTATCCTTACGATTCATTTGGACTGTTTCCTAGTATGATTTGATGGCTTATTGTACCCTATGACTATTATCAAGTGTTGCACCTGATGATTCTTGACTCTTGACGAATGTATTTCTTTTTCTTTTATGGACACAGAGAGCATTTGCACCAAGACAAATTCCTTGTGTGTCCAACCACACTTGGCCAATAAAAGAATTCTACCTATCTATCTTATGGCCAGAAACAAAAGATAAACTTAAGTTAATACAGAAATGCCGTAATAGATTTATTGTTCACAAGGGCAGGTATAACTCCTGAAATCAAATGCAGGATAACCTTAGGCCCCACTGTGAGAATTAACATGAATAAGATCTGGAAAAGAAAGATATTGATAGAAACACAAAAAGCAGGCTAGTTAGAGCAGAGGTCTCCAAACTTTGCAACTGGTGGGGGTGGGGGAGTTTTTTCTCCAGTCAATGATAGTTGGACATTGGAGGCCAAGTTGAAGGAATTAAAGGGACTTCACCTATTTTTGTGACTTTGTTGCTTTTGTATCCCACCCTGGGTCATCACAGCTTGAGAATAAATATGGGAATTAGAAATTTAAAAAGGTTAGTGAAATATAGAAAACATGCTAATATCATCAAATATGTTAAGATGGGGATTGTTCTAAAAATTAGACATATTATGTAGATCAGTATTAACTAAAAATAGAGAATCAATACCAATGAATATGGGTAAACTGTAATTGTTATTGCACAAGATATTTGTGTACACAGCTTAAATGGAAGATGGATTGTTTGTTTTAAAATAAAATAAAAAAATTTAAATAAAAGAAAAAGAAAAGAAAGGCCACTAAATGAACCATTGTAAGTCAAGGACTGCCTGTAGTCTGCAATAATATAGGGCTGTAAGATCTGGGTACCAAGAATGGCCGGTTGAAAAAGAATTGACACCTTCAAACTGGTGGGCTGGAGTAAATTATTGCATATATCATGGTCATCCACAGCGACCAAGAAAGAGGTGATGAATCGTATAAAACCAGCCACATCATTAGAAGTCAAAAATATCAAGCCAACGGCTGAGTTAATTTGGCCAGGTTATGAGTGCGAATTCATCGGAGAAGGCAATGATGCTAGGAACAAGAAGGGGCAAGCAAAGGACACACTGGCTCGATCAACGTCGCATCCGACGCAAAGTGGAACATCCAACAATTGAAAGAAGCGGGTTTGGCAGGGTAGCCTGGAGGCCACTTGCCTATAAAGTCACCACAAGTCGGACACAACTGAATGGTTAAAACAGAGGCCTCCAAACTTGGCCACTTTAAGACTTGTGCACTTCAACTCCCAGAATTCCCCAGCCAGCCCTGTCTGTTTCTTTTTCTCTTATCCCCCCAAAGAGCAGAGATTGCAGAGGAAGGGATTACAAGAGAGGAAGCTGTGCTGGCTGGGGAGAATTCTGGGAGTTGAAGTCCGCAAGTCTTAAAAGTTGCCACGGTTGGGGACCTCCAGGTAAAAACAGTAGAAACAGTGGGTTAAAAGTAAGAACCAGGAGGAAAAAAAATTGCATTTTGGTCGCATGTTTTTTGACCAATGTGTTTTATTATAACCTCCCTTCAACAGAGCGATGGGTGGCCTATAGGTTTTTAGCGTCATCATCATTTTAGCCATTGTCTATCCACTGCAGGATGAAGGTCTCTTCCTCATGTTCCAACCAATATGGCCCCAAGCTTCCTTTTGCTAATTGGACCTCCCCAATATTGGGCTGATGTCGTCGCTCCATTTTGTTCTATGTCTCTTTTGTGGATGCTTTTGATCAAATGGGATCCATTCTATGACTGCCTTGGCCCATCCGCCCTCAGTTCTTCTTGCTATGCGCCCAATCCGTTCCCATTTCAATTCTTTGACTCTCTTAATGATATGGCATACTTGTGTTTATTATCTAACCTATGTGCAGGATGTCTTTCTATCTTGTCTTGTCATCTGCACCTCTTTAACTGTCTGGTTCAGTTCTGCAACTCAACAAGATAGACACAGACCTCAGAGAGTAATTAGGACTGCAGAAAAAACCATGGCTACCAACCTACCTTCCATGGAGGACCTGTATCCTGCACCCTGAGTCAAAAAGAGGGCTGTGAAAATATTTACAGACCTCTCACATCCCAGAAATAAACTGCGTCAACTCCTTCCCTCAAAACGACGCTATAGAGCAATGAACACCCAGAACTAGACACAAGGACTGTTTTTCCCCCCGAACGCCATCACTCTGCTAAACAAATAATTCCCTCAACACTGTCCAACTATCTACTAAGTCTGAACTACTATTACTGTTAATCTTCTCATCACTCCTTATCACCCATCCCCTCCCACTTGTGACTGTATGACTGCAACTTTGTCGCTTGTAACCTTATGATTTTTATTGACTGTTTCCTAGTATGATTTGATTGCTTGTTGTACCCTTTGACTATTATTAAGTGTCGCGCCTTATGATTCTTGACTCTTGATGAATGTCTCTTTTCTTTTATGTACATTGAGAGCATTTGCACCAAAACAAATCCCTTGTGTGTCCAATCACATTTGGCCAATAAAGAATTCTATTCTATTCTTGTAATGCCGAGCATGTATCTTTCTGTGGCTCTTTGCGCCACGCGTAGCTTTTGTATCAATTGTGAGGTTAGTGTCCATGTTTCACCAGCTTATGTTAGAGAAGGTAGCACACACTAGAGATCTAACAAATAATAATTATAACCACCTTTGGTGAGCTCCAGTTTATTTCATCAAGTGCCATCTAAGACATGAGTTCACCAAAGCTTATATGCCTTGCAATATAATTTGTCAGTCAGAAAAGGTACTATCAGACTGCAGGGTTGTGGTTTTTTTTGCTGTCACAGAATAACACAGCCTTCATCCTATGACACCTGCATTTAGCAGTAACCTGCAGTGATCTCAAGGAAAAATTCTGAACTCTTCACATTCGCCCACCATGTAGACACCAAGCAAATAGATAAAAAAATGTAAGCTGGACAGCCAGATTTTTTTTTTTTGAAAGGGCAAGTTTTCAATTCATTGTAAGAAACGCTGATTCCCCTTGGAAAATGTGGTGGTTCATCTTCAATCAAGCCTTCTCCTTTCATGACAACGTGAAAATTCTGCTAGGCTCAACACTCTCCAGCTTGGGCAGTCAAGGATGGTCTGGGGGTGGGTGGGAGACAAGGGTGATAGGACGTGCTTACCTGATATTCAAAAATGTTAAGGACTGCAAGTTCAAAATGGCTTCTGGAATATAGCGAATGCAATTCTGGTACAAATTCAAGCTCTCGAGGGAAACGAAGAGACAGGCTTCTGGTGGCACCTCAGAGAGTCGGTTCCGTGATAAATCTTGAAAGAGAAGGAATAAACAGTATGAGATCCAGTCAAGTGAGAGTAAGAACATTAAGATAAAGATGGGATAACAATAACCATTAACGATAACAGTAGTAATAATAGGCTAAAGTGCTCTGGGAGTTTAAAATTCAAACAGGCAAGCACCTACCCCGTAACACCCCTGACTTAACAACTGTCAAAAAGAAGGACAACCAAAACTAGGTATAAAAAAAGATATGGAGGAATTTGGAATAGAAAGGGAACCCCAACAATCAGACCAAATTTTAACTGGTAAAGAAGAAAAATTTATCACTAGAACATATAATTATTTACTCCAAGTAGAAGTGGAGGAAGAAGTAGTTAAGGGCCCAATGACTGCTTGGGCACAAAATGTAGGTCATAGCATACAGTTAGAAGATTGGGAGAAAATTTGGACCAAGAACTGCAAATTAATGTTATCAACAACGTATAAAGAAAATTTAATCAGGATGTTTTATAGATGGCATTTGACACCGGCGAGATTGGCCAAAATATACCTGAAAATGAAACCGCAATGCTGGAAATGTAAGCTCAGACGGAACATGCTATCATATGTGGTGGCAATGGCCCAATGTTAAAAAATACTGGGAAAAATTGAAGAAATGGATAAGAGAAATTACAGGGCATGATACTGAATTTAAGCCAGAAACTTTTTTTATTGAGGCTGATTAAAGGAAACCTGAAGAAACTTATCCAATATGTTGTACAACCCATATTAACAGCAGCAAGACTGTTTCCCCAAACTGGAAAACAGATGATACCATATTTACGAAAATATGGTAATAAACAAAATACTTGATTGTGCCAAGATGGATAGGCTTACGAAAAAACTTAAAGGTAAAGAGGAGTCTGAGTTTTATAGGGTTTGGAAAATGTTATATATATATATACACACACACGTATGGCATTCGGCTTTGCTCGGGTATTTTCCCACGTTGTAGTAGCTGTGCTTTTAAAGTTGTAGCAACGTTTCAGCAGAATCTCATCTGCCATCAGAAGCCTGATGATGGAAGATGAGATTCTGCTGAAACGTCGCTACAACTTTAAAAGCACAGCTACTACGACGTGGGAAAATACCCGAGCAAAGCCGAATGCCATACATGTAAGTACCCGCGAAAACTTAAGAAAACACATATATGTGTGTGTGTGTGTGTGTGTGTGTGTGTGTGTGTGGTTAGATAAGAGAAATAAGTTTTGATATAAAAAAGAATTGTAAATATAAGTAATGCTTGACACAGAACTGTTAAAATGTAATTTTCATATGTATTTTGAAAATAAATAAAATTTACAAAAGAAAGACAACCGAGTCTGGATAGTGGATGTGGCAATATCTGGAGACAGCAGAATAGAAGAACTGGAGAAGATAATAAAATGCAAAGACCTGCAGATATCAGCAGAAGAACTATGGCAAAAGAAATAAAAAAGTAAGTGGTTTAATAGCAAAACATCTGGAGCACCACTTCAACCTCATCAAAGTTTCCATCAGTCAAATGGCAGCTTTGCTTGGGACAGCTTAAATCCTGCACTAATACTTTTCATGCCACCAAACCACAACACCTGCCTGTCTCAGGTCCTTGGGAAGGACTTGATTGATGGATAAAGATACCAAACCCAGGGTGATGAACCATAATAACAACTTCACAAAATAAAAAGACCCACAAATAGAAGTAGAACTACTGTGGCAAAAGAAAGCAAAGATGGTACCAATAGTGACAGGCACGTTGGGTGCAATTCCAAAACATCAGGAGCACCACTTGAACCCTAATGGCATTGACGCAATCCCCATCGGTCAATTGCAAAAGGCAGCTTGCCTCGGAACAGCTTCCATCCAGCAACAAGACCTTTAATAGTATTAAACAAGAACATCTGCCTTCTTAGGAAGGACTTGATAGGTGGACCAACATGCCAAAATCCAGTTTAAACATCTGCATTGCAGTCATACCATCGGCACTGACACAATCGTCAACAGTCAACTGCAAAAGGCATCTTGCCTCGGAACAGTTTCCACCCTGTGATGAGACCTCTGACCACATCAATCATCCACATATGCCCATCCCAGGTCCTTGAGAAGAACTCTGGACAGGCGGACAAAAATGCCAATTCCAGTCTAAACATGTGGTCAACTGTGCGAAGCACAATAATTCCATTCTACAATGAAATTTAGTTTTTTAAGTGGTCATCGTTAACATAATTACTATGGGCTGCAAGAAGAGGAAGTGTTTCCCAAAATAAAACAAATCACATTATAGTTTAGGTCAATATGGTAGATTTAGATTAAAAATAATAAAATTCACTCAGTGTAATCCAGCTTTCTCCAACAATATGCCCTGCATGTAAGCTAGAGACCACAATTCCTATCACCCTCAGGAAGCACAGCCAACAGATATTTTAAATTGATCTTAAAATCAATACTTTTGGCCAAGTTTTATAAAAGTTCAATGAAAGACAAGAGTCTGGACTGCCATTCCACCCATTCTTATGGATTTGAACACAAGGCAGCAAGGGGTTTTTCTGAATACAGATAGTCCTCGGCTTACAAAATGTTCATTTAGTGACTGTTCAAAGTTACAACAGCACTGAAAAATACCTAACTTAGGACCGTTCTTCACAGTTATGACCGCTGCAGCATCCCCACAGCCACGTGATTTACATTCGGAGGCTTGACAAGCGACTCACATTTACAATGGTCCCAGGGTCCCCTGTTGTGACCTTCTGACAAGCAAAGTCAACGGGGAAGCCACTTTAACAGCTGTGTGACTAACTTAACAACGGCAGTGATCCACTTAGCAACCGTGGCAAGAAAGGCTGTAAAATGGAATAAAATTTGCTTAACCAAGGCCTCGCTCAGCAACAGAAATGTTGGGCTCGATTGTGGCCTTAACTCAAGGATTTACCTTTATCCATTGTGTTTTGATGGACTAACTGTTCATACCCTGGCTGTTTTATTTGGTTTGGAACGGAGCAAACTCAGAATCTTACATTGGAGCCACTGAAATGAGTTTCGTTCGGGGCCCAAAACAAAACATGTTTCTAATTTCACGCTCACCCTTATTTTAGAGGCTGCACACTAGAGGCTTGGAAGAAGGGCTGTTGTGGATTTCAGTAGTTGGCAGGAGAAATACGTCAAATAAATAGATACTCATCTGCTTGTATGCTCCTCTCTCTCTCTCTCGTACCCCCGAGCTCACTCAATATTTTAGCCCAAATTCCAAATGATGTCGGCTTTCCTTCCTTCCTTTGATCCTTCCTGCCCCTCCTCCTTTTTTTTTTTCTATCCTTGTGCTATGCTGATCTTTTACAGACTTAAATAAAGTCTTCGCTGCTAAAGGCTCAAGGAAGAGGATTCGATATCTCTCATTCCCGTCTGGACCAGCAAGGCAAAGGATCCAATTGGGGAAAATTCTTGACTGGCCTGAGTATTTTCCTCTTTTTGTGTGGCAAGGGTTTAAACAAACTCTCTTGCAATAAATACTGCTTAGCTCCATGCTTGGAGGATTTCCTGAAATAGAAGAACTGGATGATCTCATGCCTTCCTTCTCACTGCTTAAGGTAGGAATGCTAGGATGGCTTCGAAAATACACAATTTAAATCCATTTCTGAAGCAACAGCGTTTCTCTAACCCACTCTTTTACTCTCTGTTTGCATCCAGCTGGAACAGGTAGTCCTCAACTTATAACTACAACTGAGCCCAGACTTCCTGCTGCTAGGCAAAACAGTTGCCACGTGAATTTTGCCTTGTTTTATGACCATTTTTTGCTTTGGTTGTTAAGTGAATCACTGCAGTTGTTAAGTAAGTCACACGGCCATTAAATGAATCTGGCTTCCCCCCCCATTGACTTTACTTGTGGGACACTGCGACCGTCATAAATACGAGCCAGTTGCCAAGCTTCCAAATTTTGATCAGGTGACCTTGGGGATGTGCTGCAACGGTCATAAGTGTGAAGAATGGTCACTTTTTTCCAGTGCTGTTGTAATTTCAAATGTCACTAAGTGAACTGTTGTAAGTCAAGGACCTTTCCCAGATACTATCCCAGAACGTTAATTACTAGAAGAAATTAAAAAAGGTCTCTCAGATATTTCTTTCTCAAAAGCTGCAGAAGAACCAAAGATTACTTTTAAATCAAAATGTACAGTATTTTCGCTGCCAACAAATGAATAGCTTATGCCACAGATGTGTAAGATTCCACATTTCACTTTATGTTTTTATTTATCCTGGTTTTTTTTTTAAAGTTGCATTCTTGCGCTATGAAGTGAAATTCTCAAGGACTCCGGCACACAAACATACACGCACAAACACACACAAACTATTTCAAGGACACCGTTTCAGAAGAAATGCCCGTTTGCTGGCTTCAATTATAGCAAGGCCTGTGAACTCAGGACAAAATTTGCAAACAGGCCATTAAGCGCTGTTTGCAAAAGCCACATTTCTGGAAAACATATTCAGGCTGCTGTTTGGGGGAATAGATGCATCCCAGATGAGAAACAACAGTCCAGGCAAACTTTGGCTAAAGTTTGCTGTGAGTTTTCACTCGTAAGAGAAAGCAAATTATTTTTGCCAAGGTAAAAAAAAAAGTCCAAGGAAGACGCTGTGGGGCAGTTTGAGATGTTCTACTAGGGACAAAAAGGCTGCTCATGTTTATTCAGCCACTGTATTCAAATATCTCCCTGAAAATTTAGATACATCCCTTGGGGACATTCATTTGAGGCAATTGCAACTACAGGTATTTCTCGACTTACAACAGTTCATCGGGTGACCACTCAAAGTTACAACGGCACTGAAAAAAAAGAGACTTCTGACCGTTTTTCCACACTTATGACCATTGCAGCAACCCCGTAGGCACGTGATGAAAATTCAGATGCTTGGCAACTGTCTCATATTTATGACGATTGCAGTGGTCCGGGGTCATGTGATCAGCTTTTGTGACCCTCTGACAAGCAAACTCAATGGGGAACGCAGATTCACTTAACAATTATAG